CAGCATTACTGTTTGGAGTAGATGTTAGCCATCTACTTTCCTTTGCAAAAGCTTCTATCTTATAGCAAGATCAGCAGAAGAAGCCACGTTCAGTTCCTTCAGCCCATCATTTCTCTAGGAGCACACCTACAAACACTGGTTGTGCTGTAGCTGGGATGTGTGTTTCCAGCATCACGGGATGTGCCTACACTTTTTGCACAGGTCAGTGGTTCTTGCAGCCTGGCTAGAGAGTGGGGCGACTGCACTGCAGCAGTGCTCCACAGCCACCCCCTAAGCACCAAAGAATTGTGTTTTCCAGGACCGTCAAAGCTTCCCTGGCTTCTTCTGTCCTGGTTGTGTTTTTGGTGATGACAGCACATAGTGCTCAAATGTACTGAGTTATGGCAGCCTAATGAGTTACTACATGACAGCTAATATTCTCTTCTTGTGGACCCACATTCCAGCTGGGAGGTGATGAATTGGTGGAATGTGTCTTTAACTCAGTCTGTCAAGAGCATGTGCTTGTTGAATACTTCTGACAGACAGGTGGTGGCTGTGTGTACTTGCGTAGTGTGTGATACACTCACCTGGTTGTGTATCATGTAAGTTTCGTGTGTTGAGAGCTGCCAAAGCAGAGCAGTGTGAACTCCAGAAAGTGCTGCATACTTGTTGGAGCTCAGGACAGAAGATGAAACTGCAAAACTTTGAAGGTGAAATGTGGGAAGCTCTATGGAATTCTGGTTTTGAGAGGTTAGTCTGGTCTCTGTTGATAGCATTTAGTTTTTTGTTCTCTAAGAGCTGCTGTGGATGGAATTTCTGGGTCACCTCCTGCTGGTTTTATGCTTTATTATGCAGTACTAATGCAAAGAAAAGAGTTTTATGCATACTTTTTATTTTGTACAGATCTTAATTCTGTAGTTTGTTTGGGGATGATGTGATGTTATGTTCATAGAGCAGGCCAAGGTAAACAAGCTTTTTCTATAAATGTTGCCTAGACTGCATGCTAGCAAAGTCAAAGTCAGTGAGGGTTGTGTTTTTAATTTTGTCCCTTGTACATCTCCTTTTTAGAAACCTTCCTTCCCCACTTTCTTTACGTTTCCTTCTAAAAGAGGGAAGTGGAAAAAAAAAAAAAACAACACCCTTGTAGGTGCAAACTTCTCTTCATTGAGTTCTACCACACCTGGAGATGTTCAGCATCAGCTGTCAGTCAGAGCAGAGGGTATGCATGCCAGAGAGCTGGCAGAAGGAGACACTACACAGAATAGCCCAGAGTGCTACATGGCCAAAAGAAACATTTCTCCCTTCTTGAGAGCTGCATTGCCTGCAGCCAGCTGCTTTCATTGTGCTTAAACAGGCAAGACTCTAGCTGCAGCTTCTGCTTTGATTTGCTCTAGCAGAGATATTTTCTTCCTTGCTGTCTCTTGGGACAAATCTATTAACTAGAGCTGCCCCTCTGACATGTGCCTGTGTGGAAAGGATGTCACAGACTGTCCCCAGATAGTGCAGAAGCAGGCTATTTTAATATGTGTTCAGCATCAAGGTGGCTAAAGTTGCATGTATCTCATCCATTGATTTTTATCTTTTTCTTCTTTCTCCTTGTCCTTATCATCTTTGTTTCTTCTTTCTTTTTTCTTTGTTGCCCCAGAGGGGTGAGAGGGGCAGGAAAAGCAAGCAGCCTATTTTATGCATCCCTATGGTGCTTCTATGCCCGCCAGCTGGAGCAGGCACCAGAGAACAGGCACTAGGAGCCATTGCTCCCTGTGAAGGACAAGAGGTGGAGCATGGCCCTGGGACTCAGCCTGTCTTTGTGGTATGCGCTAGCAAGGAAGCAGCTGAGCTGGAGGTTCCTTGAAATGGCTGGAGATTGCTGCTGGTCTGCACCTCAGCTCCTGCACAGTCCACGGAGGCTCTGGCAGGATGGCTTACCAGAGAACTAGTGAGCACTCGCCACAGCGGTTTGTTCACTTCTCACACCTCCTGAGAATTTTCTTTGCTGCAAAGGGCTCTCTTGGTGCAGTGCTTCTGTGACTAAGAGGATGTGCATGTCTTCTACTTGCACCAGCACACTGGTCTTGTCGAGGTAGCCCTGTTTGCAAGTAGGCAGAATGCTTGGCCCCCTGCCTGGTGTGGTTCTCCAGCACTTTTGTGACAGCCTATAACCAAAGTTCAATTGGCAAAAACGCAGCTTCTGCAAAGTGGCATTTTTATTTAGGGTGCTTTAGATGGGCTTGAGAAGAGAAGCAGTAGCAGGACTGATGGTCTTTTTCTAGCAGAGGGTGTGCTGCCTGCTGTTCGCCTGATGGAGGAGAGTTGTGCTGGTGCAGCCTGCTGTGCTATCTCGTGCCTGTGCCGGAAGGCAGGTTATTGCTGTGCTTTTCCCAGCAGCTTCCACCAGTTCCTAGCAAATGCTGCAGATGCACCTCTTCCCTAGAAATAAGCTTCAGACGTAAATCAAATGCAAAATTTTTACCTTTTCCTTCTGGCAAGGACAGGACTTTTTGTTGATTGGTACCCAGCAGCAGTATCAGTACAACTTTTTTGGAAGCTGTTAGAGGATGCTGTTGGAAAGAGTGTAGTGCTGTGGCTTCAACTGGGTTTGCTGAGTGTGGAGGACTGCAGTATTTATTTAATGAAATGTTACAAAATCCATCAGAGGCTTTAGTTCCTATGTTGACAACAACAGTGGCAGTGGGAAACGTGCAGAACTGTTGCATTCACAAAGGCAAATACTTCATGTTGAGAAGAGGCAGTATTGTAAAACAAACAGCATGGGAAGGTAGGTGATGGACTATAGCTTTGAGGGAGCCACATTCAAGAATTTATTGTGCTTACAATGTATTTTCCACCTACCCCACCCTTTGGCATCACTCAGTATTAGGCACAGCCACATTTCGTGGCTAAAATGGTATATTATACAGAGGTCAGAATAGGGCAAGAGGGAACTTTTTTTCTTTTCAATAGCTGGTTGGTGCGTAGCAACAGTCATCTTGATTTTTACGATTGTGCAACTAGTGTGACCCTCATCTCCTGTCTGTGGGAAGGTTTGCTGAGCACTTGATGCAGCCAAGTTTTGCCAACTGCTGTTGCAAGTAATTCAAACCATGATGTTCTGCATTAATTCAAAGCAGCAATGTGTTTTGTGCAACTTTCTGCAAATGCAGGAACTGTTTGTTTTCTTTGGTGCTCTGAACATCCTCATTAACACCTTTGCTTATTCCAACATGGGTTGCAAGAAGGTAAAAAGACAGCAGGAGCCTGTTGGCCAGAGGTAAGCCTACACCCAGCATCCTGCTGGACAGGTATGTGGTGGCAGTACGTTTCCTGTTTCTCTTAAAACCTCAGAAAAGTCCTTCTATTTACAAAATGAGGAAGAGCTGTGTACAAATTCATTTCCATTACAGCGCCTTGCTAAAGTGCTGACATCTGAGTTTTGTTTTGGTTGTTGTTTTTTTTTTTTGGAAAGCCCAAGTGCTTCTTTTCACATTTGAAAAAGTGTCTTTTGCAACTTGCATGGACAAGTAGTTTCTATGAATTCTCTGGAAATGTTAGTGTCTAACATGGATTTTTTTTGTCCATGTACTTTTCTGAAAGCAGAACCCCCCCCTCACACACATCTGGGTTGCAGTTGGAAGGGAAGTACTCTGTGCTTTTTGATTTTTGGTGCTGCTGATGCAGTGGAGAAGTGCAGAGCCCACTGTAAATGATCGAGCCTGCAAGAGTGGGGAGCTGCGTGCTGCCGGTAACATTTTATTGTGTGTGCCATTTGAACCATCTTCCAAGTGAGTGCAAAACCCAATTTTTAAATTTTTTTAATTGTACTTGGAATTAACTGTTGCTGTGTACTAAACCCTCTTGTTACAAGCCCTGAATAAAAGGAACAAAGCACACACTGTGTTCTGTGAGTGTGCCACCACTGCGTCACTTTCCTTCTCTTGTTACAGGCTTTTTGAAACGTGTTGAGGGATGGGGAGACGTGGCTTGTGTATGCAGGAGCCCTGTTCAGAGAAGGTGAGCTCAGCTCTTCCCCCAGCCTAGGTTTGAATACTGGCATCCAGCTGGCAGCCTTCAGCAGCTCATGTCTCCACTTCTGTGACTGTATTTCCTGTAATTGGCCAGTGCTAGGACACCAGCTTCTTCTTCCAGCACGGATGCCCATGTTGCATTCACAGCTCTGAGCTGCTGTTCGCTAATAACAACTTTACTTTTAGGCTAAGATTCTTCTGAGCTGGCTGGAGTGCTTTTGTTCACCTTTCCTAAACACCACTCTGCATCTCCAGCATTCAAGCAGAGCTTACTTCCTTGAGACCTGCAAGAACAAACAGCTTCTCTTCTTTCAGTGATGACATGAGTGACCTGGGGCCATGACACTCCAATTGATTTCCCTGTGGTGCAGGCAGCTCTGCTTGTGGTTCAAGTTCTGTTCATGCAGCTGAGTTCTGGTTTTGGTACTGCTGTACTGCTGCAGCTGCTGCTGCTTTTGGCTCAAGGCAGAAATGACTTCAGTTTCACACGTAAACCCAAGTACCTCAGAGCCTCTCAGAATTAGTGCCCTTCCTACATGAGCAGGAATTCAGTCTGAGTTCTTTAATCTTAATTTTCAAATCCCTGCAGTAGCAGCTCACAAGTGCTGCACAACCAGCCTCTGTGCATCCCCCATGGTACAGCATAATGAATTCCCTGCAGTGGACCCCAGTGAAGGGCTGCACCAGCACTTACCAGCCATCAGCTGTTTGAGCAGAGCTGAACTGAGTAATGCCAGGACCTTGCACATCTGAGGGAACAGGCAGATGGAAAAGGTGAGCTTTCACTCTGGGTCTTCTTTAGACCTGTGGCTGCTATGTACAATGCTACTGATACAGCCAGCTCTGATCCACTGGAAAGAGCTGTGCAAAGGAACAATAAATAGTAATTTTATCAAGAATGAGCAACCTGTAGCAAAGCAGGAGCCCTGTAAAAGGGAGCTGCTGCTGCCCTGAGAACAGAAGGTGGGTTCTGAAAAAGGAAAAGGGCAAGACAGAGGATTAAAACAAATTATTAAATTTAACTACATCTTTATTGAATTGTGCATATTCCATTGTATAATGATCTATATTGGGTACTCTATAATGTATTTCTTTTGTCCTCTCTCATGCTTAAAAAAGTATATTTATACATATATTTATATATATTTATAATATGGCAAAGCTCCCCCCAACCTGAAGCTAGCAGTCTAAAAGAGCTTTGATATTTCTTTTTTGGAAAGGGAAGAAGAGGGGAGGCAATCCCATTGAAAGACAGAATGTGCAATTTTCTTTTTTAAAGCAGTAAACATGAATGTATTTACAGCACTCATCACAAGTTTGCTGTATAGACAGATCATCATTGCAGTGACACTTTCTTCTTACATTTGCATCCCCAGTATCGTACAGGATATCACTAGTGGCTGCTACCAGTAGTTACTGTAAGCCATAAAACAAACCGCTGCTCCAGTTAATTTCTGCTCCATGGCAGTCCACTAGGATGAAAGCTAAGATTACAATTGTAACTTGTGAAAGTATTGATTTTCCTTTTTAAATTATAAGTGCTGCACCAAATTAGCAACAAGGGAGTCTTTGAGCACAGGTTCTCTAGCTAAACCGGCCTTTGCCCACGCCCCTTGCATGTCTGTACTCTGTACTCACTTACCTACAATGGTGAGTCAAAGCAAGGGCTGCAGGGCAGCTGACAGCAGCAGCCCCTGGCAGCTTAGCTTCAGGAGCAGCTGCTGCAAGCACATCTGCGTACCTGCAATGTAGCTCTGAATGCATCTTTGGCATCTTGGGAATTCCTGAGTGAGAGAGAACTATTTTCCACTCCGAGGAACAGTTGGTTCAATTCCAAAGTGCAACAGACAGGTTGCCTTTAAGTGTTAACACTTAAGGGGGTTTCCAAAATCTGTTGTTCGAGTTTCTTCTCACTCATTCCCCTCACTAAATTCCTGCTGTAGGGGACTGGGCATAGATGCAGCACCAGATCCTGTTCCTTCCAGTTCTTCTCTAGCTCTCCTCATTGAGGACATACAATTCCCACAAACAGAGCTCACTGAATCCTTGTCCTACTTATTTTTCTCACATTAGTGGCAGTTACTTTAATTTTACATATGATGGCCAATCATTTGCAATTTAGTGGCTTAAAACTTTTCAAAACTAGACAAAGCCTGTGTCTCATTGGATTGCAGTATTAGTGAGTGCTGACCCCTGCACTGTAATGCTGGTTTTGTCACTTTTTTTTAACTGAAGGAGAAAAGGAATTCAGAAAGGAAAATTATTTTAGAAAAAATGTGCTTATATTTCTAAAATAGAAAGTTTAAAAAGCACCAGCATTTTATAGAAGCTTGTAAGGGAAAGCTGTAGTGTTAAATGCTCTCTGGATTGCAATCTACTCCAAGTGAAAAAAGGAACACAAAACTGAACACCAGGAGCCACAAATAAGGAAGCTCCTACAACCAAAGAAATAAAACTGCCCTTGTCCCCAGGTCAGGAGCACTGTTTGAACAAGAATATAACTCTACATCTTCACAATGAGAGGGAAAAAAAAAAAAAGGAAAAACCACCACCAAGAAAACAAAAATGCTCATATGTTCTGATCACATCTTCACTGTCTTTACTACATTCTGGCAGGAGTTTACATTGCTAATGTTTGGACTGAGACAGAACTGCAAGAAAGCACACGTGTGTGACTTCCATCTTATCAGCATATTTATGCCAAACAGAAAATACCTTTACAAACTACTGCTGCTACTTGGAAGTAAATACTAAAAACCAGGAAGAGCATCAAGTGTTGAAAATTCTGCAGGTAACAAATTGAATAAAAATACCACTACAGCTCTAAGAATTTGGCTCTATATTAACAATATTTTCAGATGGTATATCTTATTATCTACCACAGCAAATGTTCTCAAGATGTAGTTAAAGCCATACAATGTCCCAGTTAATCAAGGAGATGCAACTGATTTTAATGCGACTCACTACTGGAAATAATGCTCAAGTAAGACCCGTTTATCTTACTTTGAATAAGAGAATTTTACCAGTAATGGCACTACTGCATTGTAGTACTGTTTTACTACTGTACAACAATTTAAATCTATGCAGTTTTCTGTAATAAGCAGAAAAAAATCTTTTTTGCCCTTCTGCAGTTGAAACAGCACTTTTGGTTCCTTTAACTGTGTAAAGAAATAATTTTAACCCAGAGCAAGACTGGCCACTCTGATCTGTGCTACCTGGTTCCCAAGAGCACAGAACAAAGAAATTAGGAAAACAACAACAACAAAACTCCACACATGCAACTCCACAACAGTAAATCTTAAAATGCACTTGTTAAAAAATTGCTCCCTCTCCCATTAGTCCTGAAGACAAAGTGATTCAGGTACCTTTGTTGTCTCTCCCTGATGCGTCAGTTGTTCCCTGGTGCTCTGCAGGACATTGCACAGTAAGTTCAGGAGAGGAGCTCTTTGGCTTTGGGGCTGTGCACCACGTTAGAGCAAGTAGTCTTTTGTTGCACGAGGAAGCTACTGCGCAGAGGAAAGCAGGTAATTTCCATGTAAAGAATTGAAATAACTAGATTACTTTCTTTTTTGTGGGTCTTGTGCCTCCTTCCTGGTTTGAAAGGCAAAACAGAAGACTGGCATGTCCATCTCAAACGTATTACCAATTATTTGTTTAGAACCACTTGCTAAAGAGCTTTCTTGTTATATCTTTTCTCTCCTCTTGTTAACTGCTGTTAGGAGAGCCTAGTTTTTCCCTTCAAAAGCAATTCCCCAAGAGCAGAATGAACGGGAAGTCTGTGAGCCTCTGCTTTCTATGCCTACGCCGCACGGAGAGAACTCTGCTCTCTGCTGGCTGAACAGAGCCCAGCTACCCGTAGAGGCAGATGTCACCACTGGAAGAAATCTGAAAGAACAGGCACTGGAACAGAGTACGGTTCCACTATCTGCTCTCACCAACTCCTGCAGAAGCAAGGCTTTCCCTGACATTGAGTCAAATTGTACACATACATGTAATTAGGGCTATCCATTTTCAGCATTCTAGGATGAAACCATGTGCCATCTTTGTGTACAGAGGGTGCTAGCTCGGCCCTCACTTGTTCATTTGAACAGTGCCAAAACATAGCCCTGCATTTGCAGCAAGAAGCATTTTCCTGCATGTCTGAAATTTGGCTCCTTTGTTTTCTGATGATTTTAGCAAAGAAAATGGTAGAATTCTGAAACCAGTGCACAAGGGCAAAAAACAGCTTGTAAATAAGGCATGCACATGTGCTGTCATAAAAGCAGTAAATACACTAGAAAAGCAAGTTATGTCAACAGGTCTCAGAAGGAGAAAAGGCATCCAGATTTTCCAAACCACTCTGTATCCAGATTTCAGTGCTCATCAGAAGAAAAGCTGCAGCCACTTGCTATATTTCTATATGACTACTTACTAATGAAGGAAGTTGTACTAAGAAGGGTGCCACCTTTGCTGATGCTCATTCTTTGTGCTGTAAAGTTGGTGTTCAATTTCTGTCTCCCAGCAAGCTCTTTAGTAGCCTGCAAAATTAAGCATGGATTTACCGTCTCGTGGGAGATAGTGGGTAAATGAACTCGGGCACAGGAACATTAAAAGAACAAAGCTCAAACACCTCAGAAAAACCTGCACTCAAAACATTGCTCTGCCAAATGCAAATCCCAGAGGCACCTGCACTGAATGAACAGAAGAAAAAAAAACAGAACCATCACACACCAACAGAACTGTTTTGCAGAGAAAGAAAGAGAGGAGATAAGCAGAATTCCCTGATTGCTCTCGTCTGGGAGCACGCACTGCATCAACTCACATTTGCACCCTACCAGGAAGCAGAGAATGTGCCACCTGCCTACTGCCAGTATCAGCTGGGGAGTTGTAACTGTGTCTGCACACATTTTGCACCACTGGTGGGTACGAGCCCCTGGAGCTGTATACAGTACAAAGCAGCAGAAGGACCAACATAGAAAATTACAGCACCCATGAATTCCAGTATAGCTTAACAATTTTTCTATTAACTTATTAGCCAGCTATACTGACCAAGCTCAAAATCAACAACATAAATGCTTTTAAGGACACTTCATAAGCACAAAAGTAGTAGAAACAGAAATTTGTGAACAATCTGAAAGATAGAAAAAAAGTGCCTTTCCACAGCAGTGCTTTAAAAATGCACACAATGGTATATCCTTATTGCTCAAAAAAACTAGTCTGAAATACTAAAATAATTTCCAGAGGTGCTGAAAGAGATTTCAAGAAGGGATATGAAACAGGAAGGCAGAGACAGCACCATTGATTTTTCTCTTTCATGATGCACTTATTTAAAATTATATAGTTATAGATGCGCCATTTTTCCTTCTAATTGGCAAACTTTTTCCTATTGATAAATTATTCACAAAGACACATTTTATTATTTAGATTTAAAAAAAACCTATAAAAAAGGAACAGCAAGCCCTCTCACAATATTTCTATCAGCCAGAATTTCTCTACCACGAGCTTAGCTTGTACCTTACTTTAACGCTTGAAGACACCGTCAGGTTAAACTACTGCCTTTGTTTCACTTTTTGGGGGAAGGAAAGCATGTAATAATACTTGCTTTTAGAGAAAAGGTAAACAATAATAAAATCCTTTTGACATCTGAGCCTTGACAGCATCCCTGTCGTGCCCAAGGAAGTTATAACAACCAAGGATGACCTGGGTACAGGCCCGATATTCTGCTTAACCTACATAGATTGTATACCACTACCCTGTACGGAGCATGCATAACACACAAGAGCACTTACGCTAACTGCACTAACTTACTGTGTCCAAGCCATGGCTAAAGCAGCATCGTGAAACTTCCGAAGTACAAAAAAAGGACTGTGGTACCTGATGCCGTGATTGTGACTCTGTGGCAAACAAAAAAAACACCAAAGCAAATATTTCCTACTCATGCAGCCCCTTCAAACTGTCTGCAAACATTATTGCCTCTCAAAGATTTTTTTTTTCCAGTCCTCCCCTTGGCTGTTAGAATTGCAACTTCATAATTAACAGCTCTATGTGTTGATCACAGTTCCTGGCACGTCAAAGAAAAGAGAATTGCAGCTGTGTTTGCCTCAAGTTACCAATACTTTCTCTCTTTCTAGAAAGTAATATTTCCTGACAGCTACTAATGAATTACAAACAGTACTTTTAACTGTTTCCAGACACTTGTTTTCTGTAACAGTAACACATCTTACTGGGCACAGACAGCATGAGACTGCGCTAGGTATGTTCATTTGAGAACGTAACACTGCCAAAACCTACCTGTTTGTTCAGGGAAAGAGTTACACGTACAAGTGGTGCATCCACAGGGGTCAGCCTTGTGGGTCGGCACTGGTTGCAGGAGTCCTGGCAGCTTTCAGAAGGGGTTAACAGAAATAGTCACCTTGTGTCATAAAAACAAATGATCAAGCCTACTACAAAGTCAAGATGCATAATGGATTGGAATAGTATGTACTTCTCCTAGTTATTCATGGACAAATAACTTCAAATTAATTTGTAGCAGTGTATATTTTTAAACTATTTGGAAGGAAGGGGGAGGTTCTTTATAGTATAAATATATTTCACTCCAGCCCACTATATATAAAATCTATTTTCTTCCTCATAACATACTCGTTTTCAGTAGTATTATGACCAGAATGTTTTGGTATGTTGTGTTTGCATTTTTAATCAATGACCAGCGTGCAGTTACTAGCAGACTCAACTCTGCACCATTTACCCATCACAAACTGCCAAACTGTTTGCTTGTTTGTTTTCCCTGCTTTTTTTTTTTCCTTTCTTCCTTTCTCCTTCTTTCTTTAAAGTGCCCCCGACAGTTTCATCTTTACAGTCAGATTGGTTACAGAGTCCGATTCCCAATAACATAGCGACTGAAACAATAAATACGGATCTACAAAAACATTCTGGTTATCTTCTATAATTGCAATGAAATATATCACAATATATTATATACCTACACTTATAATACATGCACAAACATGTCTCACATGGACAGACACTACAAAAAATTATCTTCCCCCCCAAATGCAGAAAAAGTAAGAAAAAGGGATTTTGGTCCAATCCATATGAAGGGTAAAAGAAATTGAAAATGTTAAGTCAACACCTCTCTACCCACCTCCCCCAATAAAATACTGACAACCCCTTGCCCCCAACTGTTTTGGCCTAGCCATGAGGGGGGAATGTCTATCTTTAGCCTTAACTACAGTTTGAGATCACCTCTTTTGACAGGGCTATTATCCACGTCCCCACATTCTCTCCAAGTGCACAACATCACGGGTTGGCTGGTCACAGAGCAGCCACAAGTCATGGAGAGCACCGGCCCCGGGTGACCGACTACCAGTCCCGTGACAACTTAGTGTTCTGATCCCTCTTGGGAGGCGCAGGGGGTGGCCCCCTCCGTAATGTTGCATAGCCAGATATGTGGCTGCCCCCGAAGCTGCTCGTCTTCTGCTGATCGGCCAGAAGCTCCGGTGGGGGCGGCGGCAAGGCCATGTCGTCCATGGTGGCAGTGGGTTCTGCTCTGGACATCCGGGCAGAGGAGAGGGAGCCGTGCCGGGTGATGGATTTCCGCTGCAGCGTCCGGTTGAGGTCTGCCAGGAATCCTGGCTGAACGCTAAGGCTAGACTTGGGTGAAGTGGGCACTTGGGGGCCAGGTGTTGCCGGTGACTCTGCGACGTCTGCCTGTGTCAGCCGAGTGCTGTCGTTCCGCTTTGGACGTGTGGGTGGTGGAGCTTTTTTAACTGATGGTTTCGACCACGCCTGAGGCTGAGGGTTGACCACAGCAACTTTTGGAGAAGTGCTGCCTGAAAACACAGATGGTATCTCAACGGGGGGGAGAGGAAGATCTATTTCAGGTGGTGGTGGTGGAAAGTCTGAATCCGACGGCGGAGAAGGAAATTCAACCATAGGTTCCTTCCCTGATACACCTGGAGCAAGAGCCTTGGCCGGGATCCCTCCCTGCGGAAGGACGATGGGCAAGCTCACACCAGAGAGATTGAGCTTTCCGGGCTTTGGAGGGGCCACAGGAGGTGATGACTCCTTTGATGGAGACCCTGATGGCTCTGGTGGGTGTGCAAATTTGCTGACAAGGCGGTCCACTGAAGGTCTCTTGGACTCACTGTACTCAGTGGAGCTGGTGGACTTGATGCTGGAGTTCCGCTGAGGTGTTGGAGGCGGTTTCTTTGCTCCAGGGCTTGATGTCTTGCTGGTCTTTTTGACTGGAGACCCTGATTTGTCAGGGGGGGGAGAACCTGCAGAGGTAGCTGGGGAAGGAGGCGGAGGAGGAAACACTAAGCTGCTCTCTGGTGGAGGAGGTGGGAAATCCGGTGAGGGAGCAGAGGCAGGCTGCCATTTGGGTTTTGCCTTCACCGCTGGAGGTGACTGGGGAGCCACACTCAAAGGAAGGGGTTTCAGAGGCTGGGGCTCAGTGGCAGGTGGGGTGGGAGGAGGTGGGAACTGGCTGACTATCTGCTTCACTACTGACGGCACTGGGGATTGAGGTGATGGGGGAGGCTTCATAGAAAAACTCTGCTGCTTTGGAAATGTTGGGGGAGGAGTGGGGCCCAGAGGGGCCGGGGGCAGCGGAGGCACCTGGGGAGATGTGACACTTGGCTGTTTCTTACTTGCAAGAGGCAAGGGAACTGGCACAGGGGAGGTGATGTGTGAGACCCCTGGTGACGCTGCCTTCCTGCTAGGCTGTGGGGGGAGAGCTGTCATGAGAGGCTTTGGGGGTGCTTGGGGTGGTGGTGGGGCAGGCACAGGGGGAGGAGGTGGTGGCAATGGTGAGGCAGCAGCAGCCACCTGACTTATATTTGGTTGAACCTGATGGATTTTGGGAGGGGGTGGTGGAGGTGTGAACTGTGGTACAGAGGGGGCAACAGGTGCCGGCTTCAGTTGTGCCATGGCTGAGCCCGGTGTGGGGGGAGGAGGAGGAGGGGGGGGAGGTGGCATGACTCCATTGGGTGGCACCAGTATCTGAGGCTTGCCTGAGGATGGAGGGGGCAGGGGGGGCTGCTGTGCAGCGGCAGGGGCCTTGGAAAAAGGCCCACCGTGCTGGGCAGCATTCTGCAGCCTGGTGATGGTGCTGTACTTAACAAACATGGCAGCAGGTGAGGCAGCAGATGGGGCGGCCTGGCTGGGGAGCGGAGGTGGCGGAGGAGGAGGAGGAGGTGGTGGTGGAGGAGGAGGAGGGGGGGGAGGGGGCAGTGGGGGGGATGGCTGTGATGCTGAATAGGGGGTCACCACTTTTGTCTGTGGGGACACAGGAGGTGCAACAGAGATGAAGGGCCGACCTGCAGGCTCCATTCGCACCTATTTAGAAGGGATTTTTAGTGAAAGTAGAGAGGGAGAAAAAGATAGAGAGGAAGGGAGGGAGGGAGACAAAGAGATTATGAAGTCAAGATCTAAATGAACCTATCATTAAAAATTAAGTGGCAGGATTATAGCATGCAGGAATATTAGGAAAACAATGCAGCAAGAGATAGTCCTTTACCCTGACAAGCCTGAACTGTACAGTATGGCCACCTGGTAGGGGGAGGTGGCAAGAATCACCGGGGCCAGGTCTACTTCAATCTATGCTGAACAGCAGGAAGAAAATAGTTTTTTTTTTTTCTGGGGGACAGGCAGCTGTACCAAGTGCGAATCACTGATCCTCCTGTGAGCAAGCATAATGAACCAGTCTGAACGTTGCCCAGAGTGCCCCTGGCCACAACAAATGACACCATGCAGAGCAAGAGCCTGCAGGCATCTTTTCACTCAGTAAAACTAGAGTTAAACCATACCCAGGCCTCCCTGAGCATCTGGCAAGCCTTCGTGTTGTTAGCTTAGGCCTTAATACTGCTTAGCATTACAGAGCGCAGAAATCCTGAACTGCTCTAAAACACATGAAGAGCAAGCTCTATGGAGATTCTGAGATCCTTCTACTCCACATTGTCTGACATCAAACGCTGTCAAGAGAAAAAAAAAAAAAAAAAAAAGGCAGAAAGAGGGAGTAATGAAGTCTCCTAAGAAAATTTCCCCAGAAGGAAATGCTTAGAGACAGTTAGCTTGGAAAAGCTAGGCATGCAGCTATTATGTCATTAGAAAAAAGAAAGACTGGGGAGAACTGTGTAAGTGAAACAGCAATGGAAAAGCAGCAGGCAATGCTTTAGTCTACTTATTGGGTTTTCTTCTTGTTAAATTGTTTCTCTAAAATTGTAAACCTACATTCTTATTAAAAATTAAAAAGGTAATGACATTATTCAAGTTTATCAGAACTACAATCACCTAGTACAAAGTGGTTTTGCTACAAGCCAAGTTGTCATCTTCACAGTGTACAGCTTAAAATCATGCATTGGAAACATAACACCAACACGGCAACTAAGCACACTCCGTACCTAACTTCACTGGTATGTATTATGCCACAAATTAGCCCAGTTATGCTCATTTGTGCTGCATAAGCTTGCTTATAGTTGTTTTAAACACAGGTGCACAGTTTCTATATGCACAGGAATCACACAAATGTTAGAGTAAGAAACAATAAATAGTAATTTACAACTAACGTAGGTGTGTTTCTACCTGTCATATTAAGCATGTAAAGCAAGAGTGTACATAGTTCGGGAGCTACATCAACGTGTTCACACAAGGAAGGGGAAATCTTGATGTCTTGCATATTGTTAGTCTGTAATTACCATTCTCCCAATCACTCAAGTTAATGTATTTTCAAGTAGCAGCCCCTGACCTTAATTCTGCCCTGTATAAGGCACCACGGGTGTGCTGACCTTAGCTGTGCTGAGCTTCGCTTTTGATACCTGAGACAGCAAAAGGCAACAGGAAAAATAAAAGCAGCATAAAACAAATAGGGAGACTGAGACATAAAAGAACAGCTATCTCTGAACAGCAAGATTTTAGAGAATCTGAAATAGGGAACTGTCCCTCATGCCTTGTCACGTAAACACACAGAGCACTCACTTTGACACCATGTGTAGCATCTCATTTGAAATAACATTTTCAAAATCTAACAAGAAAAACAAGACAATGAGATTTTCACTGCCCAGCTGTGATGAATGAGTGCGGGTGAACACAGCGTTCTTTCGGCAGAGTAGTCTTTCAAAATATGAACTGGACAGACTGGCATTTTGGAAAGGCAGCCACTTAAGTCTTAGGTTTACCTCATCCATTGAAGACAGTCATTTCCACAGTGAGCAAATTGAGCACGCAATGGGAAAGATTACTGTACTGCAGGATGGCAATCTATTCCCACTCTCATATATAAGCAAATTACATTTCCACAATCAGAAAAAATTTTCAATCAGACTTTGCTTATAGAAAAACCTTGAAACAGATAACTGTGTATCTTAAAAACAACCTACTGCACTGCATACTATCTCAATTCATATTTTTATCATATATCACCATGGCTATCTGGAAATCCCCCAAATCCTATAAAAATAACAGAAACTACTGTTTAAAATAGTAACTGAGGTTTCTTCAGCTGTTTTTCCTAAGTAAACAAGCTTTTGCATTTGAATTGTTTGCAATCTCTTCCTGTGACAGTTGCATTTGGACTGGTTGGCCAATTTTAGCCAAACATGACAGGTGTAAATCTCAGTATATTTTCAATTTCAAAAAATGGAAGTGAAATTATTGGCACCTTTAAATGGGGAAAAAGCAGGCAGAACCAGAAAGCAGTGCAACATCCCGACCAGCCTCAATGTCATCAACCTGCTGAGCCAAGAGGTGCTCTGTTCTGCCTTGCTTGTTGAAGAAGGTAAGAAAAGGGTGACATGGGGAAGAGACAGTTGCAGAAGTGGAAACGACACACTGAACAAGCCAAGCCTCCATTAATTTTGACACTTGCAACAACCTGCCTTTATATATTTCTTAAGCAAGCTCTGTCACCAAAAGCTAAAGCATTGGAGAATTACTAACTCTGAAGATACTGTTTGGAGACTGATCTCCCTAAACCAGCACAGCTCAGTATCTACAATTGCAGGTGCTTTTTCACGTCGATTACAATTGTATCAATACTGTTGTTTCCTTTCTCGTAACAGTTAAATATTTTCTGTTGTTAACCCTTCCTTGGGCCAGACCTGCACAGGTTAAAAAAAAAAAAAAATACTGTAGTTTTACTTAAGTTAAATTTGTGACCAATTTACTCTGGATTTTCTTAGCATGGTTTCAAGGTTTTCAATAATTTTACAAGATTAATTTCATTTGAATTCTTTGGATGTTTTACTTTGATCCCTTCACCTGTGCTATGTGTGAGGAAGAGAAATACACCTTGTAGTAAATTTGTACAAATAAAGGAATTAGAATTGATGAAAGCTTGAAACATGGATGGCTCTTAATAGGGAATAGTCTGAATATTTTATTTGTAAAAATGCTTTAATCAGATAACAAAAATTATTGGGGTTTATTTAAATGAGCAATTGCCATTGGCACTATGGACTGGATAAGAACAGCGGTGGTCCAAGGTGCTAAAATTCAATTTTTCTCCAAAATTTCATAGAAGCAAGAAGCAAGATCTCGTATGAAAACCAAAACCTCAGAAAACACTGACATTACAGTCTCACAGCAGTACTCTTCCATCTCTGTTGGATAACATGCTAGACAGACTCACATGCCCTGTCTTTTTGATCCACCCAGCCCCTGCACAAATGATGCATCCTGTACACATACACAAGCCATGTGCTGATGAACATGCAGCAGGTTTTGCACACATGCAGCAGAAAAATCTGGGTCAGAGTTTAGCAAGCTATGTTCCTGGGCTGTGTACTACTTTGCTATTACATTGAGATAATTTCCAAGCCTGCAGACACTACAGAAAATTTCCAAGTCTCAAAGAAAACAGCCAAGTCAGTTTTCACATTGTGCCACCTGTACTTTTTCATTTGTACATGTAATTAACGTTGTGTCTTATTTCTAGTTATTCTTCTGATGCACCAACATCAGGTGTAGTGACCCATGGTTTTCTTTTAAAAAACCTGCTTCTCTGGCTTGAACCTACAGTCTGAGAAAGATTCAAAACTGCATGAGTGAAGGTACCTTCCCGCAACGTACAGAACTGCTGCACTTAATACCAGTATTATGGCTGTTCAGGAAATTCCTTTGAGCCTGACAGCCAACCAGATGAAAGGACAGTTCTGCTGTCTGTGAAGGCATTCACTACACCAGTCAACTACTAGACATAAAACTAACCAAATCACCACAGGCCCCAGGAGTAAATGGATTAGTGTCTTTTGTAACTTTCTATCAGCAACAGGAGATATCAAATCTTTAACCTCAAACGAAGTCGATTTTAATACTGCTGTTTAACAGTACTTGTGTCTACCGCCTTCATTTCCACACAATATAATACCAAACGTTGGAACCCAAACTACTAGAGTGCACCTTATACAGGCGTACCTGCCTTCAGGTCTCAGTTGTCTGTGGAATTTACAGTGGAAAGATGTGGCCAGTTAACAGAAGAAAATCTTAGCGAATTAATTTCATTTGTTAGCTTCTAACAGCTGATCTTTTTATTTGTTCTTTATACAACACTAATTAATAAGATTATTGTGAAGGGCCGTTGCATGCCTTCAAAGACCAAAAGGCTTCTATGCACACTAATAAAAACAAGAACAGAAAGTTCTATGAGTGAATTCCCTGAAAAAGTGATTCCTGGGGAAAAAAAAACCCAAACACATTACATGGCAGTGTATGTAAATAACATAGAGTAAAAAAGATGAAAAAAAATCCATCCCCACTTCAGACAGAGGTGGAAGAGGTAATGCTCTGTCTTGTGCATTCTGTTGTGTGTTGATTCTCAAACTAAAGTCTTCTTGTTACCTTGCTGGATTCCTCCAGTTGCGTGCCTCGCTTCCAGGCCTCAGAGAACATGGAGCTGACAATACTTTGGGAACGGACATGTCCAGTTGGCTGGGTGTCAGAAACTCCACTGTCAGATTGATTAGAATGATTTGATTGAGATTCTGTTTAAAAGAAAGTGAAGAAACAGCATATGTTTCTGAAGATAAGAGTGAAGCCACCATGCTTACAATGGAACTCTATGTGACATTTACTGGTCATGCTTGTTAAACATTTAATTCCAACAAATGACACTGTTCCCACAAACTACTCTGTATGTTCCCACTCACAGCCAGCCCACTGAAGACTGCTGTCTAGACGACAAAACAGAATAACAGAGCATACTCCTGCAGGCACACAAAATTTGCCCCAGAAGCAGAATCCCCATTTTGAATCTGGGACGAGACTGTCTGGAAGTTTCTCTTTGGGCAGTGATTCTTTCCCAATTACCAGTTTAAAAAATGTCAGTCAGCAAAAGCCACTTGCATCATTAAAGCATAGAGCTGGATTTTTTTAAATTATTTTTTTCAAATACATGAAGATAGAGGCATCACAAACTTGAAAGGAAGCTTCCTCTTATCAGTACCAGAAAAACAAACTCTTCTGGAGGCTCATGACAAAGTACTATAAGTTCTGAAAATACGCCACTGCAAGTAACGTAAAACACATTTTTAGATTAATAGTCCATTCCCCCCTCAAATAGCTTCACTTACAGTCTCCAAGTATTTGGTAACAAAAAAGAAGTAATTAAATCTTTCTATTAAGAGACAAGTCACATAATTACCTGGCAAACTAGATGAGCTGGAGCCTGACTTGATACTGGAGCTAGACAAGGAAGTCCAGTCATATGCCGATTCTGTTCTCTTTAGTGCATCTTGATAGTTCATATACAGTTGCTTCCCATACTAAGTGAAATGACAAACAAATTTAACTACTCTATATGCTAACTACTATATAGGCTGTGTACCCTTTTCGGTCTGTTGATCTTCAACTTTAGCTTCTTTGTTCCACCTTTTTCACCCCTCAGAAAAAGGAGAAACACCCAGAGACAAAAAAGCATGCTCTCTGTGAAGGATTTCACACAGAATTAATTCAGTGCAAATTTCATTTTGCTTTACTTAACAGCAGTGGCAGCTTCCTCCCCACAAACTTTTGCATTTTACTTAATGAATTGCTAAAAAAAAAATTAAAAATTGTTTAAGCTAGAACAGACAGTATCAAACCAGCTAGATAATGCAAGAAGTGGGCCTAAAACAAGCTGGAGATATTAGAAAACAATTATGTGAAACCCAAAAGGGAGCTGGCTAACATTAAGCCAAGATACCAATTTTGTCATTTGACAATTAAGGTTACCAGAAATAGAAGGAAAGGATTTGTGTGGATTCAGCACATGTTTTGCCAAATAACTGCAAATAGTTTCATACAGACCATGACAACAATGGAAGACTGGCTGGAGGATGTTACCTTAGCAATGCGGATGCCATTGATCCATTGGTGTAGAGTTCTTACATCATCACAGCAAAGATACTTGATATACTGGGATTTCTTCTGGATCTGAGGATGCTGCATAAAAACATTAACAATTACCATTATTTAAATGGGTAGGAAGGTAAGGAGAGCTATTTAACTAAGTTTTATAAAGACAAATTTACTGCTCTTGAATGGTAGTACATGTTTTGAGTTCACTTACAAATATTTGAAAGCATTTCAGGCGGTAGGGGAACTGTTTTACACAGAGATTGGCAGCGTGTCAGTGAGCACTGACTTCAGGTATGAAACACTAGGAAAGGGCGAGTCTTTCAGTATTTTAGTTCTGCACCTTTTATGTACCTACAGAGCCTTCTGTACCCTGAGGCTCTTCATACATGTTTCTACTCTCAAAAACAGTCTCAGCTTGTAAAAACATTGCAAGCAAAAGACAGCCAAAGTGCACAGAGTTGTCTCCTTTACTGCCCCCCTATGGACTAACCACCACTGCAGGGAGACAAATAGTATTTCAATCTTCCCTCACGCCGACATACAGTTCTGTAGAGGACACTCTTCTAATTTTTAACTAACGTTACAAATTTAACTTCAATATTCTCATGTCTTCCCTTATGCTCACAACAGTAATAAGTTACTTTTTAAAAATCTATTGAGATAAAACTTTTATTTATTCTGGGTGATCAATACACTTGAAAAAAATAATTCATCCATAAAAATGATACAGATAGAAAGTGGCATACAAACATAAGAAATCAATTTTACACAAGTAACTTATAATTATACCTACAAACAGTGGTATTTTTGCATTTAATTGCATTCAATTAACTATTCCAGTGACTTATAAGAACAAAGAAAATATTTCCAATTTTAATTTTATGCCTTCCTCCTTAATCTCATGTCCCAAACTTGACACTCAATGTCTACCTGTCAGTGGGCCCAAACATTATGCCCTCTGTTAAAAGAAGGGCAACATGTTTTCTTCACATCACAGACTGGCAGCCATACACTCCAGGCACAACAACCATTTTAATGTACTGATGTCAGTACCCAGCACCACATGACACAAGATGATATAAAGTTAGAAGGAAAATTTAAGTTGAACTGTAACTATCTTGTTACTTGCGCCATTTTCAAATTCATGAAAATCCTTTACTTGCTACAAACATACTGTGAAAATATTTTAAATAGCTTTGTAGCTAGCTATCTTCACAGAACCACAGAATTGTAGGGGTTGGAAGGGACCTCCAGAGATCATCGAGTCCAACCCCCCTGCCAAAGCAGGTTCCCTACAGCAGGTCGCACAGGTCGGCATCCAGGCAGGTCTTGAACATCTCCAGAGAAGGAGACTCCACCACCTCCCTGGGCAGCCTGTTCCAGTGCTCCGTCATCTCACTGTAAAGAAGTTCTTGCGCACATTTGTGCAGAACTTCCTATGCTGCAGTTTCCAGCCATTTCCCCTTGTCCTGTCTCCACTCACCACTGAAAAGAGTCTGGCCTCGTCACTCTGCCCCCCACACCTTAGATATTTATAGACCTGGATCAGGTCCCCTCTCAGTCTTCTTTTCTCAAGGCTGAACAGACCCAGTTCACTCAGCCTTTCCTCATAGCAGAGATGCTCCAGGCCCTTCACCATCTTCGTGGCCCTCCGCTGGACTCTTTCCAAGAAATCCCTGTCTTTTTTGTACTGGGGAGCCCAGAACTGGACACAGTACTCCAGATGAGGTCTTACCAGGGCAGAGTAGAGGGGGAGGATCACCTCCTTCGACCAGCTGGACACGCTCTTTTTAATGCACCCCAGTAAGCCATTGGCCTTTTTGGCCACAAGGGCACACTGCTGGCTCATGGCCAACCTGTCGTCCACCAGGACACCCAGGTCCCTTTCCGCAGAGCTCCCCTCCAGCAGCTCATCCCCCAACCTGTACTGGTGCATGGAATTATTCCTCCCCAGATGCAAGACTCTACACTTGCTTTTGTTAAACCTCATTCTGTTTTTTTCTGCCCAGCTCTCCAGATCTTGCTGAATGGCAGCACAGCCTTCAGGCATGTCAGCCAATCCTCCCAACTTCATATCATCAGCAAACTTGCTGAGGGTGGCCGTTATCCCCTCATCAAGGTCATTGATGAAGATGCTGAACAAGACCGGACCCAGCACAGACCCCTGAGGAACACCGCTGATTACAGGCCTCCAACCAGACTCTGCACCACCAGCAACAACCCTCTGTGCTCTGCCAGTCAGCCAGTTCTCAACCCACCTCATCGTCCACTCATCTATCCCACACTTCCTCAGTTTTGTTATAAGGATGTCGTGGGGGACAGTATCAAATGCCTTGCTGAAATCAAGGTAGACTACATCCACTGCTCTCCTCCTATCCACCCAGCCAGAGACATCATAGAAGACTACCAGGTTGGTCAAGCACGACCTCCCCCTTGTGAACCCGTGCTGACTACTCTTGATAACTTGCAGGAACTAACACTATTTTGAACAATGTGTGAGAGTTAAGGAAGGTTTTTGTTTTCTTTTTTTTGTTGTTGTTGTTTTTTTTTTTTTTTTCCTTTGTAGGGGAGAGTAGTGACAGGAGAGAAATGGCTTTAAACTGAAAGAAGGTAGATTTAGACTAGATATCAGGAAGAAATTCTTTACTGTGAGGGTGGTGAGACATTGGAACAGGTTGCACATAGAGGCTGTGAATGCCCCCTCCCTGGAAGCATTCAAGGCCAGGCTGGATGGGGCTGTGAGCAACCTGGTCTAGAGGAAGGTGTCCCAGCCTATAGCAGGGGGGTTGGAGCCAGATGAGCTTAAAAGTCCATTCCAACTCAAACCACACTATGATTCTATGAAATTGATGCAATCTAAAACAACCAAAAGCATTAATTAATAACTCTACAGTTTAAGATTAGGTCACTGATTTCATAAAGTTTTTTTCTACTTGTACTTTTATTTGTCTTAATACTAAGAAGTTTCTTCCCTTACAGCATCCCTGTCTCCCCAGGTTGGGCAATATGGGTGGGCTTGACACTAATACCAATTTGTGCACTACTCTGAACATATGCTCTCGGAGGACAGGAAAACCCTGACATCAGTGTTTCAAAGAACATTAAATCCAGTAAATCTGCATTCCTGTAAGGCAGCTGCCAAAGATTTTGGTGTAATACTTGATAACAATTAAATAGAACGATTAAATAGAGTAGGAATCGTCAGTCTGGCAATTCAGAGCAATGTGTAAATATTTACGAAGTCATGAGGAGCACAGAGAACGGGCAACAACTATTCTCCTACCTTCAGCACTAAGCAGTAGTCTGTGGGAGCTTTGTATTTGTTCCGATAGTCCTGTCCGTAGTAAACGTTGACATGATCTAGCTGTAGAAAGCACACGAGATCCCGCGAGACCTATTGAGTACAAAAATACTAATTTACAAAACAGCTACGTAAGAAAACCACAAACACTGAAAAAGAAAGAAAAAAAAAATATATCAAACCACTTTAGCATTAAGATTCAATACTAATATGATACTATCATTAGTTTCAATCTGATTCTAACACTACCAGTACAGCAAGGGAATACAGCCATGCATAAACTCTTCCATCAGACCTTTTTAATCAGGATATTCTTTTTCAAATTCTGTCTATTGTGTGTTCATTTGTATTTTGCCTCTTGACAACCAATTACAGCAGACTGCTAATAATTACTCAGCATTGCTATCAGAATGGATTAAATAGGACTGATTTGACAGGGAACTTTTACATTTGCTGTTAATTAATCTCAGTGAATCTTGGGTGTTTCTGACCACCTAAGCCCAAACTCACTCAAAAAACAGACCCCCGTTGTCTTGCATTTTTAAATATGGGGTTAGACAATTCATATCAAGCGTTACCACAGTAATTTATAGTAAATCTACAATTCACTTGCACAACAAAGCTGCACTTTTAATTAAAGGCTCTAGGCAGGGCACACAGCTAATAAAGCTGAGTCTTGTGCCCGAATGATTTCTCAGCAATAAAAAAGACAGGCAAATTGCTTTAAAATAGCATACCTTTGCCTTTCCCTTAGGAACATAGTAGATTCCTGAAGCTCGTAGAAGAAAGTAACGTTTCTTCCAAGACTTCTTACCATCCTCTTTCAGCCACAGAACTCCTTCAATTTCTGGCACAGTTACAGAACTTCCACAGAAACATTCCTGGAGATAAAAAACGGTGGTTTGAAAAGTGACACAAAGAGAACGTACAGCATGCAGTGTTTTGTTTTGCTTTTTATTGAGACTGAAATTCCGCATCTAAGGAATGCACACTTATTAAGGAAAGGTTTTTCTCTGTGCAATATGATCAAGTGGAAGCGATCACACTTCAGCATAGGTATGTCTCTACAAAAACGTCTCAAAATTATTCTGTTTTCAGCTTATGAATGCTACAACTTGTTTGATCTCTTTGCTCCACGCTTCCTTTTCTGTTGTCCTTAGTTCTGTGAATTAATATTGAACTCATTACATAACTTCCCTTTCTGTCACTCACTTTTTAAATCTAATTTTTAGTGGTTTATTTTAAAGTTTTTAACTACTTTGCTTACTAACAAAACTCAAGATTCTAACATGGAACTAGTCACTGAACCAACACTACAGAATTTCGTACTGAGTAACAATTTGGAGAGTGCTCAAAAAAATTCTGTCATCTCAGGTGAACAGATAAGCAGTAGTTCTCCAGATTTCAACTGTTTAACCACCACTACAGGTAACCTCATTTTGGTTGCCAAAGAAAATAAAGACACATTCAAAGTAACCTATTTTATATGAAATACAGTGACATTAAAATAGTTATTTTTCCTCAAATGTAACATATTCCATTTTCCCATTCAGATCCATCCATTAGATTCAATAACCACAAAGTTTTAGAGTTCAGTTTCAAATGCTGATGTTCTTTCTGTTTTGGCAGTCTCACCTCTAGCAGCACCTCTTTATTTCTGTCTGCCATCTCAGAGGTTTCTTTTTTCCCCAGGAGATAGTTCTGTAACAAGAGAGAGGTCAGGATTTCTATAGGCATTCTGAAATAAAGCCAAATAACATTTCTCATTTGCCTTTCTATAGGAGTAAGAAACAAGGTGTTAAGAATGATACTCTAATTAAACAAAACTTTATAATCCAGATGAAACTATCAGATGGCTACATCATACATGGAACTTAATAAACAACCACCTCTTCCAGAAGTGCCAATCAGTCCCAACTCTTATCCTAAATCAATAGTCTCATAATAATATTTTCCTGGCTTTCCACACAAGCTGACTGGTGTAACATATCCAGAAACCAAAGTAGTGTGAACTTGAAAATGCCACAGGATCTGAAAACGATTTAAATCTTGACATTACTGGTGTGTTGACAGAAGCACACGCAGAAGAAATGCACGTCTTTTCACCTTGTGCTGATAGTTTCTCTGAAAAAAAATATTTCACAAAACTACTAAATACTCCTTGTCTTATTAGAAGGAGCTATTAAGCATCAGGTACTCTATCTTATTTAAGAACTACTCCTATGCTTTTCTTCAGCTTGGAAAGGATAAAGACGATGAAAATCTTCTTCCCAACCTCTAGCTCTTACTGGAAAAAAAAAAAGAAAACAATATTCATAAGTTCCAGATCAAGCCTTCAAATAAAGATGAAATATGTGTATTTAAAAATTGGTTTTACGCTGGTGTCTTGTGCTCTTGACAGTGCATACTACATGTAATGTAGTAAATGTTTATCAACACAGTCTTAAAACAATTTTTTTTTGCAGAGTTTTGCAGCTTCCTAACAAAGCACTGGAGTAAGACCCAATTTTCAGTTTTTGCTTGAAAGTAAATTTACAGTGTACAAAAGGATGTCCATGCAAAATTGCTACTCAGCTTGCTAGGTGAACAGGGAGTCCAGATCCAAGAAATTACCACATAAATGCCATATCAATATAAAAATAATCCATGACCTCAAGTGGCAAGTCGTTACTAAGAGTTAGAAGAGATCAAATTATAGTATATACAAAACTTTTCAGCTCCAAATTCTTCAAAGAGCTGCCTCCTTGGTAATGAACTGCTGCTGGATATCAAATACGTAGTTAACATTTTGAAATTTCCATTATCATCCCTCAATAATCAGTTCCCAAGAGAGAAGAGGACCCTTTTGTTTCCTAAACAGGGAACATGGATGAATAGAGGCAAGTCCCAACTTTCACAGGGAAGTGTAAGTCTGCCTCTCGTGTCACTTGACCACAGTGTGTGGATATCCTCTTCAGAACGTTCATCTTGTCAGTAAACAAAGAACACAGTGGAGCAGCAATACTCTCAGCAATACCTGCCTATACCTTGCTTATATACTTATTTTTGTGAACAGCACTAAGTGCAATTGCTGTGAAACTGTCTGCCTTTATCACTATTAAAAATTGCTCATGAATACATTAGGAAACAGCTGCGGCTCGGGTTTTTCTGTTGGACATCTGATCTTGTATCAGTCACAGCATGGATGTATGTGGCACTGAGATGTAAGGTTGCCTGGCATTTTTATATGGACACAAGTATCAAAATAGAAATATTAAAATGAATGCTAACAAAAGCATTATGAAATTGCCATCAGACATACACATACAAACACTCAACATACGCCTCAGGCTTACCTGGGGATTCTTAAAAAGTGCGTACTTCTCTATACGTTCCACGAACATTAGCTTGTTTTGACTGTCTCTCGTCCAATTGAGAAGATTTTCAACTAAATTTTCATGATCTTCAAAGATCCTTTCTGCAGCAATAATAAAAGAGCAAACATTTTAATCTGTCACTTTCTGTGAAATAAGTTACACTGTAATTTCACCAGGGAGATGAGGCACGTATGAAAAAAAATACACTTCAAGACCTACTAAAATGAAGAAGAAATTTACAACACAAACTAGAAAGAATTTAGTGAACGTTTGCAAATGCCCAGCTTAATTTTACACACACACACACACACACACACACACACACACACACACACTATTCTCACTTCTCTCTGTTCAGGCTTACGTAACCATCTGTATAACAAGCCTGAATAACCCATTTGTTGAACTTGACAAAGCTAACTATCCCACATGAATACAACAAATTCAAATAACAATATCTGACATGTTGTAAGAACAAATAAAAAAACCAATCACATTTATATATACTCTGGTTAACAGAGCTGTTAGAGGAATTTCTTAGGCGGCTTTTTCAGCATTAATTTTGTGTCTACATCCCCAGTTGCTATCTCACTCAAAGTGTCAAAAAAAAGTCATAAACAGTGCTTAGAGGGAAAACAAAATGTTTCTGAAAGGTAGAATAACCATAGTTAGTAGGAGTATGGTAGAAGATTTTGGAAAATGGATTATGCCTCTGTGTTGAGATGGTTATCACCAGCATGGGACAATGAAAAATCAGCAAAAAGGAAGTGGGGAATTTTTAAAAAGACGAAAATTTACTGAAGTGGTAGAGAAATATCTGAAAATTCTTATCCTAAGTCTTTGGGAAATCACTGACCAACACTCTTCTCTAAACGATTCTCATGTAACACCTTGCTCTCAGCAATTATTTCCCCTTTCACATAGGCCATATTGTCACTCAGGCAAAAAAGTTTTCAGAATTCTTTGGGACTTGCTTAACATATAATTGGCCTGTTAAAACCAAACATATTCCTCTCCAAATCAATTACACCACATTTTTACAGAGAGCATATGGCACTCACCATATCCAGATCAAGGAGCTCTTACTAAAGGAGCCTGAGATGACATAGGACAACTCAAAATCCTCAGTAATTAAGAATACTAAGAGTGAATGCAACAAAATGCCATCTGTAGGGAATGAACTAAGATTTAAGATAGCAGAGGAACAACACAGGAAGTTAATAAGGTCTGGGTGAGATCTTTAAGATTCATAGGGTAATGAGTTATCCTCTAACAGACTTTTTTGTATGGTGAGATTTTTTTTTTTTTTTATTCCTCGTCTCACTCTCACATGAAGAACACATCAAAACCAAGAGGCTCAGTCAATAGACATTACTACAATTCCTCTATCAAGCCTTCAAATTTAGACATCGTTTTAATACCAAGGAAGAAAACATTCCCACGTCCATTTGAAACAATGTCTAGTGAAGTTCATGCAGAATTATAGTCTGGCAAACAAATTCACAATGATGAAAGAAGATTACTAGCCCTGGATATTAAATACTATGAAGTTAAGAATTTAAATTACTCTGAAGACATAGATATGCATAAGTACCACATCAACAGATAAGAATTATAAACGTTTATAAATAAATTACTTACCCATCTGCAATTCAGAGATGGTTTCCACCAACGACCAGTCTAAACTATAACCACAATGTGATTTGTCCATCAGATTATCTAATACTTGTCTCACTGTCTGCCTCTCATCCACCATCATTGTTTTTGAGCTGTCATCAGACATGTGGACTCTGATCACCAACTATTGAGCAGAAAATCAGAAAAACACAAAGAGGTTCAACTTACCACATTTTCTAAATTTCAAGTAAAAATGTACTTTTTAAGGCCTTTTTCTAAGATTTTGTTAAATAACAAAATATTCAGATCATTCAACATTCTCCTCAAAACGTAAAAACCCATAAACATCTGAGTGACAAGTTTCTCACAAAGAGAAAAATATGTATGTGGCACAAGCATAGATCGAGAATTATACAAACTTACACAGAACATATTTCTTCAGATTTGCAAGTCAAGCTTTCTGCCTGCTTTTTCCTCTATTTTCTAACAGCGTTATCATATATGCAGCACACCTATACTGTCTTATTTTCCTGGAGACATTAAGCATTAGTATACAACAAATATACTTTTAAAACACAGTGGCTTTTCAGAGTCCACTTTAAAGAGGTCACTGCCCAGAAAGAAAAATGCACTTATTTTTACAACTAATAAAAAAATCTGAAGTCAATAGATTTTTCTTGCTAATCATTATGCTGCTTGCTTCCTTTTTACTTCTTGCTCAGCTGCAAAAGTTAAAATGCAGTAGTTGTAATACACTAGTACTACCAAGTTTTAATTCCCATCTTCCAACTCAGGACATTTTTTCAGGTTTTGATTTATAAACACTAAATGTAGAAGACAAAATTACTGGCATGCTTCAAAATTAAAATAAGAAGGCTAAATCTGGAAGGAACACCTTAAAATCTTTGATATTGCATCAGGTGGTGTCAGACTTCCTTCACTTTGTAACCTCTCTGTGTGATCTGAAATGTTTGCATTCTATTTAACGCTGGAAAATCTGACGACACACGTGTGTAAAGAAGGGATTAGTGAAGAAACTCACATTTGAGGTGAGAGTGCTTAATACACAAAGACAGTCTGAGGAAGCTAAATCTTTGTTTCAGCTGTGGTGGCAAACTATTCTAACAGCACGCTGGCTGCAAAATTCCTTAAGCAAAACATATTTGTATTAGATATGCTAGGATTTTTTGACTGGCGTCCAGAGGAAATGGTACATTATCACTCTAGATCAGATCTGATCACTACATTGTTCCTGTTTTCTTTAAGGTATCACAATAGTAATAGACACTAATGAGAAGTATTATGCCTGCATTTTCCAGGTGAAAAAGTGTAAAAAAAAATCTCATAAAACAGCATAAATAATTTACCTTTTTCACTTGTGCCTCTTTAATCTTCTCTAACGCCACTCTAATCTTCTCAGCTTTCAGTTTAGCAGCCTGTTCCTCCTGAGGGGGCAAGACACACCAAATTACAGTTAAACACAGTCCAGGTGAGCTTTAGTGGATTTCATTTTGAAGCTACCACACTTGAACACAACTGAAACTCAGCCACCTATAATTCCACAACTTTTTGTCAGCAATGATGAAGACTATTATTTTTTAGAAAGTGTTACTTTACGTGTCTGACGCTTAGAAACACTAATGCCACTGCCTCCAAAATAACATATTAGAGGCATATATTTTATATATGCACACATGGCCTATCTCCATTCTCTTTATTTTAAGTAGCCTGGCACATTATTACCAGGTACTTTACCATACTTATTTAAAGTCACTGTCTTGGACAAGACACATTCAACAACAGTTCACAACTGAGTGCAACCAACAGACATACGACAAATACAAGAGCATGAAGAAAGTACTGAAAACAAATCCTTCAAATAGGGTTTCACACTATGCGCACGGGTTTAGAAGAATTAGCAATAAGTAGCCAGGACACTTTACTAAAACTAGACTACTCAAAACCATAGAACTATTTTTTTCCACTTCTCAGTGAGCTACTAACATTCCTACCAACTGCAAAACACTACTTCCTCTGCCACCTGTATTATTACTTAACAGCTTTTACTCCCTCACATCTGTGCCCTTACTATGCACTGGAAAGAAGCATCAACTAGGTAAGACAATCAGCTGCCCTCACAGAAATATAATGTTTGACAATAAAAGGAACCAGTAAATTCACATGAGCAGAAATAATATTGACTTGAAACTCTATTTGGGAACTCAACTACCTTAAAACACATTTTTAATTAGTCTACAGGGAACCAAAATTCTTATTTATCGTAAGAACGGTGTCACAGAACATAGAAAGGTTAAATCAGAATAGCATTATATTAAAAGGAAAAAAAAAAAGTGCCACTTCAAATTGTTTCAATGCAAAACACATCTAGAATTCTACAGTGCTCTTTCTTGGTTGCTTCCATCTACAGAAATAAATTATTACCAAAACCTGAGGTTTAAAATATTTCTAACAGTGATGGTATGCATTCATGCATTTAAAAACGCATGGATGATTTTCTTGATTTAAAAATCAACAAAAGATTTTCTGAAGTTATCACACATTTTGAGAGACTTTGGCTTGCAGTTTAAAAAGCTGCTCAGTAATTCAACCATAAATTTTTATTGCTGTACAAAGGTTGACAGCACATTTGGTTTTGCTCTTCGCTAACATCAGGCAGCACAATTTTCCACCCCATTTCACTGTGCACCTGTGCAATGCAGCTACTGAGAGCTCGTCCCAGCAAGAGCACTTCATAGTACTGAACACAGGTACCTGCAGCAACAGCCAAGAGAAAGCAGCAATCAGCTGGGGACCTCTCATCCACCTGCTCCAGTACAACCAATCTCTCTGTTTATCTCAAAGTTTATCTCAAAAGTCAAAATCCATTATTACTCCCTAAAATGCTTTTAAAAATGCTAGAATATAAACAATTCCAAGGATTTACTATTCTATCATCAATTACTTTTCAATTTGCACTACACCTACATGAGGATTCGGAGATCAGGAGTTCTTATACTGTGTTACATTTTAACAAAGTCAGCTCAAATTTAAACAAAAAAACAGACTGAAGATGTAAAACAAAGAATTGTTTTTAGCCAGCTATAAATCATAAAGAGAGGTCTGGATGGAAGAAAGAATTAGAATTTTTGAAAGCACAGGACAGTCTAGCTTTTTAAATTGTTTCATTTTGACCTTGTAGTTAGTTTTAAGACCAAGGCCGCAGCATTGCTGATACAGCACATGTTGTTTCAGGGGAGCAGCAGAAAGAACTATCTATTTTGATCACTTAAATGACAGAGTAACTACTGGATTCTTCAAAACTCACAGTGACTTATCCTATTCTTAACTGCCCAAGTAGAACCACTCATCCATATTTCCCCATGAGAGCCACTCCCAAAACCTCCCCTTCACTGCTAAATCCTTTTAGTATCAGTGATATGAGTCATGATGCCAAATGGTCAATAAACACACATATAGATGGCAAGCAGAACTGCTGCCTAAGTCATTTCTCAAGTGACATGTACAAGTGTAAATCCCTGGGATGGCTGATACGTCTGCCTCACAGTGCTGCTGCAGCCACAAAAACAATGGGGGAGGTGACCTTGTTGAAAATTAACACAGCATAAATACTGCTTTTCAGCAGAATTCCCATTTAGACAGGACTGCTTTTACAGTCACGTTATATAAAAACATAAAGGACATACAGAGGTCTAAGACCACAAAACATGGTGTTTTCTCTCCACCTCTACTGGGAAAAGGTCACTGTTTTAGCAGCAGTATGCATGACTTCAATCACTACATAAATTCCTTCTTCAAAAGACAACTTCAGGTGTACTGAATATATGTATACTTGCACTTAGGTCTTGAGCCTTCATTGGCTTTAAACCTTGCTGAGTTTACATGGAGTTACAGACAAAAGTAAACCTGTTTAAATAATGCTTGGTAATACATTTACGCTAAGAACTTGTTTATTTTAACATACTGCAAACTAAAACTAGGAGAACAACTCCACAACACGCTGGTCTTCAATTTCAAGACTTCTTAAATTATTTTTTAAACTAGAACTCAGCTTATAGTTATTTTACCCTATACTTTAACACTGGAAAAAATAACTCCAAAAATCTCAAGTTTAGATTTCATTAGTATGACAGTCAATCTCCTGCTCTAGTTCCAAGTTAAACATGCAGTAAAAGATATTCTGCTTGCGTTTCAACATTAAGCATGCAACGTATGTGCTAAGCAGGGGTGAATTTGCTCAAATTAAGCTTACTGTTTCTAGGTTAGGGATTTATTTTTTGTTTCATTGTATGCTTTTAAGAGGTCATTAACCGATTTTTCTTATTTGCCAGGCAGAACAGAAGGAAGGAGGAAAATATCACTGAAAAAGTTTACAGTGCTTAGAAAAACTAGCAGTTAAACAACAACAGGTAAACAGCTAAGTCCATACCTCACTGAAGTGACATGGAGGATACAGAGATCATAAGACGCACACAAGAAGAAATGTGTTTAATGTTTAATTTCAAATTATTTCAGTAAAGTCTTACTTGAATAATTAGATGTATATAAGCAATATTGAAGAACTAGAAGCACGTTTCCAGTGTTTGTTTTTCCAACTATAATCTCACCTCAGGTAGAAAGGAAATCGCTTGTTTAGCAAATGATTCTCTTTACTCCAGGGTTTTAACTAAGGCAGAAGTTCCTTTTGCCTCAAAGCATCATACTAACATCTTAAATTCTGCATGTTCCCCAAACCTCAAGACATCTTTATTAGTCCTATATTTAGCCTATATCAATCAGAATATCACTAAAGAGTTTTCTGTTTATCTTTTACTAGAACAACTGTATATGTACTCAGCACTCGAAGGCAAAAGTTAGATGAGTGCATAAGCTAGCAGAATCATCCTCTGCCCCAGTTCAAAGTGATTTTTAACTACAGCTTTGGATTTCCTGACAAATTCATTAAGATCCATAAAACACAAACAACGTGCAGCAATATTCCACTTATGAACACTGAATTTGTGTTTGCAGAATTAACTTTTTATCATTCTCAAACTTTTTTTTTTTTTTTTTTTTTTTTTAAATTGTATTTTCGCCTCAAAGTAACCAAGAATAATCTAAATCCATGAAAAGCAAGAGGGAGAAAAAAGACACTCCTCTCTTCTAAAGCTCACTTACTGTTAGAGAATACAGCACCCCCTTCCACAGTGAGAAGCTCACCATGCTAAGGTGGCAGGCCCTTTCTCCACATACTGCCTTCTCCCTTCCCAACTCAATACGGCATTTCCTCTAGCTCCCTGTCACAGCATTTTCTATCACATTAATAAGCATGGAAACACATGTAAATCAGTAGGGTGGTTTTGGGGATCGTGCCTGAGACTGTCTGAGACAACGGTTCACCTGAAATGCTTGAATTATGATGATGATACAACACACAAGAAAACAAGGACACACAAGATTGCGATTTTTACTGTAACTGAAAAGGGAGGAGAAAAATTTAGGAAGACCACTCAGTGTCCACCAATCATTTAAAAGCAGACAGATCTGTTTTCTCAGTCTCAATAGCTCCCATGAATGCAGGTTTGTTTTGTTTCTTTTTTCCCCAAAATCTATGCACCACTCACAAGCTTTTTGCTATTAGAAGACCAAGTCCAACACAGATGATGGCTTCTGAAGGAAAAGTGGAAAGCAGCAGTCACGTTTTAACTGCATCTCAAAGTCACACTGTCCCTTACCAAGAGCTCTTAGAAAAGAGATCTTTCCCCTGCCGTCTATTAAGGATAAGAAGGAAGGGAAAGAGATAGACAGCTGCTGTTTATGAACTTCAGTGCAGAAGTGCATCTACAAACCTCTCCAGAGCCTCCCACATTTGATCAAAATTTACAAGTATTTAAGTGTTGTGGGCTTATCACTGGTACACAGCTAAGCCTCACATAGCTCCTTGTTCCTCAACCTACTCAGAGCAAGTGAAGAGAAGAACTCGTGGTCAGAAATAACAACAGCTTAATAGATAAATCAAAAGTCGTGCGTGCAAGCAAAGCAAAATAAGTTCATTTATTTGTTACTTCCCATCTGCAGGAAGATGTTTAGTCTTTCCCAGGAAAACTGTGCTTCATTATGTACAACAGTTAACTGGGAAGCTAATTCCAAACATCCCTCTTCTTTCTTTGCCTTTTCCCCCAGCTCTTACTGCTACACAGGACATCATATAGCATGAAACAATTAGTTTTGTCCAAAATGTGGAAAATGTATCTCTCTACTTCTGGGAAACCTGCTTTTCCCACTTTTCAGAGAACAACAGAATGGTTGAGGTCAGCTTATTCAACTCTCTACTCAAACAGGGTCGCCTACTGCTGATTCCCCAGGACCATGACCAAAAGGCTACTGAATACTTCCAAGGACTGAGACTTCATAACCTCTCTGCGCAACCTGTGCCAGCACTCAGTAAACTTCAGTGTCTACCTGATGTTCAGAGGGAACCTCCTGCATTTCAGCACATATCCATGGTTTCTTGTCATGTCCCAGTGAAAAAAAGCCCACCTCCATCCCGTATTATACACTTCCTTCAAGTATTTGTAGACATTGACGTGATCACCCCTGAACCTTCTCAGCTTTTCCCCTTAGAAAAAAAGCTTCAGTCACTTCTTCAGCCTCAGAATCTTCTAATGGACTCCATTCACTGTCTCCATAACTATCATACATTGGAGAGTCACCCCAGTGGGTGCAGCCACCCCAGTGCTGGTTAAATGGAAGCATCATATTCCTTAATGTGCTGGCAACATTCCTAATCTAACCTAGGATACTGTTAGCTTTCTTTGTGGCAAGGGCACACTGCTGGCTCACTGTCAAGATGATGCCCACCAAAACCCCCAGGTTCTACTTTGCCATGATGTTTCTCTGTTGGGCAGCCCCCAGCATATACTGGTACCTGTGGCAGTTCCTCCCAAGCTGCAAGACTTCACACTTCCCCTTAACGAACTTCACAAAATTCCTGTCAGCCCACTTCTCCAGCCTGTTGAGGTTCCTTCAAATAGCAGCATGACTGCCTAGTATATCCTCCCTTCCTCCTAGTTTTGCTAAGGGTACGCCCTACCCATCAACCAGATCATTAACAAAGATGTTAAACAGTACTGGACCACTACTGAATCCTGCATTGCACCACTGGTTACTGGTCTCCAATTAGACCTCATACCATTCTGAAGGCATACTTCAATGTAAGACAGAGGAGAACCTTATGCAACAGGGACATATGTTATGCTGTCTCCCTGAAAAAGTGCCTATACTAGGCTTCACAAAAATCAGTAGTGATTTCAGAGTGGGGAAAAAAAGAAAATAGTGCAAAGGATTTCACTTACACAGATTCAGTAACAAGCACATCTGAACCACACTGACCTGAGATGCATGAAGATCACTTCGCAGCTGATTTATTCTAAAGTCTGGAGGGATTACACAGTGTAGTAACCAAAACCTACAAAACCAGGGCAATCTGCACTCATAACAAGATCATCTGCCTTTCAGGTCAACGAGAAAGACATTACTAGACATTTTCTGAAGATGCTGACATTCGTATCTGCAGCTTTACATCACTAAATCACCATCACCTGTCTTTCCTGAACGTAGTCTAAGCTTCACATACATCAGAACAGTTAAATAACTGATAACTCAGAAATGTGACATGCAATTTTATTTCCCATTTGCATGTCCTAGGCTAGAATATATTCTGAATACTCTCCCAAAATTGTGTCTGTGTTGTTCTGTATTTCATAGCCATAAAGAATTACAGACTTCAAAATCTATAGCTTAGTTAGATGGCTTACTTCCAAACAAGCCTGAAGCTTAGACTTTAAAGATTAATTGCTTTGTTTTCAACATTCTGTAATTTATCTCACTGATATATATTCACTTCTGTTTCAAGAAAAAAAAAAAGAGGGTGGGATGTGGGGTAAATGCTGTGAGAAATAAAGCACAGAACTACATTTAAAAATGAAGAGACCAGCACAATGAAAAGATATATATATATATTTTGGGGGGGCTGTGACCTTCCATGTGCAGCAAAATGAATTGTGTCTAGGCACGAATGCAAAGCAACAAGAACCTAGTTCATTTCAAGAATTTTTAAAAGGAGTTACATTATCAGAGAACAAGATTTATATTTCTTTCTCAAAATCTCCTTATTCTGAATATAAGGAGTAGATAAAGGAAAGGGAAGAATACAAGAAACAGTAAGACATAAAACAACTAATTGGCAGGCCAGAGCCACCAGATTAGAGCTGTGATGTGATCATACATTTAACAGATCTAATACCTAAGTACAATTGCAAGTAAAAGCCCTATTTCTTACGATGGCATCTCTCATAATGGGGCTTATCTAACGTCACAACAAGTCACTTATCCACCATATTTGAAAAGCTGTGGCAGTCCAGTGACTAGAAAAAGAAGAAGATAACCCCTATTTTTAAAAGGGAAAAAAGAATACTTGAGGAACTACAGGCCAGCCAGTCTCACCTCTGTACTTAGCAAGATCACGGTGCAGATGATCCACAAGGCACAGGGAAAACAGAGAGGTGACCAGAGGCAGCCAGGAAAGCATCACCAAAGGCAAAACGTGATTGACAAACTCAGTAGCCTTTACATCAGGATTACAGCATTAGCGGAAAAGAGCAAAGGATGAGGCCCACCTGGACTGCAAAGCATGCAATGCTTTGCACCACACAACATCCTTCTCTCTAAAACGGACAGATGAGGATTCGATGGACATGCTGCCTGGTGGAAAAGGAATTGACTGGATGGCCGAATTCAAGGTGTTGTGGCCAAAGGCTTCACGTCCAGGTTGAGTGGGATCAGTGATGAGCAGCATTCCTTGGAGGTCTGTACTGACTGGTATTGTTTGACATCTCTGTCAGTGACACGGACAGTGGGACTGAGTGCACTCTGGACGACGTCAAGCTGAGTGGTGCAATTGATATGCCCGAAGGAAGGCATGCCATTGTGAGGGATCTCAACAGACTTGAGAGATAGAGAGAGATAGGTCTGTACGAACATGCTGCTCAACAAGACCAAGTGCAAAGCCCTGCACCTGGGTTGGTACAGTTCCAAGCACAAATACAAGCTGGACAGTGAGGAGGAGTTGGAGGTTTTTGAGATGAAGAACAGAATTGTCTTCTGGAGAACCCATGGATGCCTTATCCCTGGAAGTGTTCAAGGTCAGGTTCAATGCAGCTTTTTGGCAACCTGATCTAGTGGAATGTAATCACTGCTCATAGCAAGACGGTTGGAATTAGATGACTGTTAAGGTCCTTTCCAACATAGACCATTCTATGATTCTACGAATCATGTCATTTTACTAACAAAACTTCTCTCTACAGGAGGTCAGATGGGAACCACTAAAGGTATTCACACCAGAACTGTATGCTCGATAGCAGAGGGCTCAGCTATACTAAGATAATCCTATGCTGAGTTAAGAAGAAATAGTATCCTTAGAATGTCAGGAAAGTCATCATAAGCACCTGACTCAAAGGGCTTTGAAGCCAAATAAGACAGATTTAAAAATCCAAAAAATTAACTTCATGAGTATTGTTAGAACTACTCATACGAAGTAGTTTGTGCTCACATAATCTGATAGACTTGATATTTTGTCTTTTTTTTTTTTTTTAATAAGCCTGAAGTTCCATATGGTAACCAATACACATTCAGTATTTAAATAACCTAAAGGGAAGATATGAAAACAGATGGAGGCAAAAAAAATATTATGGCTTCTGTTTGTGTTGCAACAAAGCAAGATTTGCTGGCTTGATGGCTGTTTGCTTCGTTACTGATGCTAGAGTTATGGAAGTGTGTGTATATATTGATGGAATGAGGGAAGCTGACAGGCTAAAGGGAAAGTAGCCTAGACTTGAGGTTTAGAAGAAACAGTCACAAAAGAAGAAAACTATGTGGCTTCATCTGCTATTTAGAGAGCCAAAAAGTGTTGCACAAGATGCACACTGGGCATTCTGGGAAGAATCTTCAGGTATCTAAGGAAGCAGTATTTCCAAACTTTTATTGGAAAACACAAACTACTTCAGCTAATCAAACATTCTCTCTATTGTTTTGAAGTGATAAAATCTACCTTGGCAAATTCAGGTTTGTTCAAGATTTTTTTTTTTTCTCCATGTCATCTTTTAGAAAAATAACACAAGGAGTGTTAGATAAGTAGGTAAATAGCATCAGACATATCTGACACTTCAGATATCCAACAAAGTTTTCTCACCAATGTGAAAGTGCATACACTTCATCTCAGCATGCTTTTTGTTTGTTTTTCATCTGGGAGATTTTTGGCTTGCTCTATCTCTCCTAAGCTAGTTTCAAAGGGAAACACATATGAAAATTGCAACTTTTAAATTGAACCAGAGGAAATGATCAGCAATCTGTGGACTCTTAATAGATCACTGAGCCATAAGGAAAATGTATTTATGATCAGGCTTTGTCTACACCTGGCTCACTATACCATTGTCTTATTATAACACTATCACCCTATATTATATCTACTTTGTTTAAAATAAATTAATTCTATTACTTGCTACAGTTTATCTTCATAAAGTGACCGAGCTTCTGTACAGGATACTAGTGCATTTTAACAGCACAGAATACTCTCACCTATTTTCTACCACTGCAGCTCTTCTTTATTTTCTTAAAGTATTGAGTGGGAATAGGAATAAAACAGCTCCTAGCTCAGTATGTTTCCTTTGTAGCTAACACATTTTTAACCTGCTGATATAATTATTAAGTATTTGCCAAGAAACTGAACACTTTGATAAACGTGCAAAGACAATAAAATGCTCTTCAAAAACACCTTGGGCAAACAGGAAAATAATCTAAGTAAATGCAAAAGTTCCTGGAAAGGGCAGGGGTGGGAGGAGTACAGCATACCGCAAAAGCTACTTTCTACATAGGAACAGTCACATGCAGGTGGAAAGAAGAAGCGTCACCTTGGTCAGCAAGTGAGAAGGCTTTCCTGCAATGTTTCTCAGAAGGAGGGAGGTTTCCCTGTCCAAATAGGAGTGCTTGTTCAGAAAGAAAGAGAAAGAACACAGGTCAAAAGTAGTCAGTAATTTTATAGCATATTGACTACAGAAGATAAGCAGAGTTTAAGGGGAAAAAAACAACACAACGCACCTGCATCTTCTGTTCTTTTCTCTCCCATAAAAATGTGAACATTCCCAAATAATACAAACCTAACACTCATATAAAAGCAGTCACGCTAAGAGGACACAAGTTTAATCAACTTTCTCTGAACAAAAGTTCACGGAATAGAATTAAGAGCTTTGCTTACCTGCTACTGGTTTCTTTTCTGCAAGAAACGACTTATTTTTAAAGAACATTCAGAACAAAAACATTCATTTGTCAAAAATCCTGTACAGTCCTGTAAAACTGAAAATTCTGCTTCTGCTGTACAAAGTTACTAAAAGCTGGTCACATGGAGGCAAGGAACTGGTTCCATGCCTTCTATGCTGACTATTACTTTAAAAGATGTCACCATAAATAATCTAAACTTTACTGACAATTAAGCTTTTTTTCCCCACCTTTTTTTTTTTTTTTTTTGTAAAAAATAATGCAAGTTTTTCAGAAAATACACTTTAAACTGTACAAAAAGGAAACAAAACAAGCAGCAACCTGTAAGGAATGTTTCTTAAACATAGAAATTGAAGAATAACAGAGTTAGAGGGATCATCATCTGCATCTATTACAGAACAGCAAAATCATCAGCTCAGTCTACAGAATTTCAATCACAAGTCTGCTGAGGAAATCAGATTGATACGTGGTATTAAACAAGAATATTGAATGTATCTCACGTACCACCACTACACTGCAAATTTCCTCCCTTGTGGCTGCATGTCTCAGCTGTTACTACCATGTTGATTGATTTTACCATGTAGAGAGAGACAAGTTCAAGCAATTCTTTCAAAGACTTTCTGGATGGATTTCTAATCACCGATCACAATCTCTGACAAGTTGCATCACTTTTTCTTAATGAATTGTGCAGTAGGGTAAAAAGAACATTACAGTGCACATTCACAACCTCTTTCCTAGGGTTTAGTATAAGGAATATCTATTTAAAAGCAAATACCATTTCCCAGAAAATACTTATCCAACAGAGAAGCTTAAGGGAGATAATTTAACCTTTGTCCTATCACTGTTCCTTTTGGCTGTTCCCATCTTATATTGAAGAACAGCACCATATTTATCCAGTAATAAGTTTTTATTCTATTCTAAAACTGCTTTGCTAGACTTGCAACAAAATATGAAAACAGATAACCACAGTAAAATTATTTGGCTGTTAAGAATAATGGTCCTTCATAAGAACAAGTATTGCCAATAAAATGCGTAGTCTGAGCTGGAGAGAAACACGTAGAGTCATGCACATGCATCTTTTGACAACGTCTTGACAAATTCCTTACTTCTATGTAACACATTTCTACAGTACTCCAGATAACCAAAAGTTAGAATGATTAGATGGAGTAAAGCAAACCAGCTGAGTTCTGAGATATTACACAGCTTGGCTAAACACGTGCATATCACTTCAAATGTTTGATCTACATAAACCCAGAGAAAAAAAAATTAGTTCATGCAGTAAGCAGACAGGCATTATAAACAAAGTTTCCTTTAAAAAAAAAAAATTAGAGGATGTTTCATTTTGGAACAATGTGCTATTCCTTTACAACTGCAATTGTAAAATATTTTGTCTATTTTAGAGGATGGACCAGATCAAATGCCAGAGGGGAACTGATGCTGCCTTTTAATACAGGCTTCCCAGGAATACTCCATTGTTCAGAGGTGGATAAATATTCTGTCCAAAGGAGGGCAACAAAGCTGGTGAGGGGTCTGGAACACAGGCCATATGAGGAGAGGCTGAAGGAGCTGGGAATGTTCAGCCTGGAGAAGAGGAGGCTCAGGGGAGACCTCACTGCTCTCTATAACTTCCTGAAGGGAGGTTGTAGTGAGCTGGGGGTCGGCCTCTTCTCTCGTGTCATCAGTGATAGGACCAGAGGGAATGGCTTCAAGCTACGGCAGGGGAGATTCAGGCTGGACATGAGGAAGTATTACTTTTCAGAAAGGGTGGTCAGGCACTGCAATGGACTGCCCAGGAAGGTGGTGGAGTCACCGAGCCTGGGGGTGTTCAAGGAAAGACTGGATGTTGTGTTGAGGGACATGGTTTAGTGGGAGCTATTGGGAATAAGTGAACGGTTGGACTGGGTGATCTTTTAGGTCCTTTCCAACCTTGGTGATCCTGTGATTCTGCTATAACGCCATAAGATAATATGACTACACTGAACCACGATGAGGATCTAAATGGCTCATTCCTCCTCCCTACTCCTAAAGTTCAAATTTAAATCAAAGTTCTGACAACATAAATGCCTAATTTCTATAAATAATCTACTTTTCCGTCCAAAGTACTTTCCCTGACAAACAAATAACACCAATAAAATCTACGAAAACAAAGCCAAAACTTGAATTACTACTTGAGAGACCTTCTTGGTCATCCACTGTGAAACCCATCCAGTGTCCTTCCACCTGCTCCCACCGCAACATTGGGATCTCATGTCCTGGCACAAAGTTGTCTCTCTCCCAGCACAATTTAATAGTAACTCATATCTAGTTAAACCAGCTGGTGGCACTCTTGTGCCACTAATTTGAATTTAATTGATGACAGCTAAGAAACACAATAAGACTTTTTTTAAAAAGCCTACCTCTTTCTCCAGGAACCAAACTTAAATAAGGAAAATACAGAATGCAGTGAGCAGTGTCTGATAAAAACCTCTATGCTCACAAAACTTTCTTAAAAAGGAAACTACCACAGTTTATTACTACATCGGTATATTGAATTCTTTAGATAATCAGCAGAAACAGCTAGAATACACTATTTTTAAAACAGAACTCAAGAATTGTATTTTATTTTTTTGTATATACACATACACACTTTTTTTTAAACGTTGTCCCAAAAAGAGTACAAAGAGGGGAAGGGAGAACCAAATTTTTTCTTTGCAAATTCTTTGAGATTGTGTTTTCGTGTGGGACATATAAGAACACACATTACAAAGTGATTAATATATAACTTAAAGATTTAATTTCATGCCTTCCTTTGCAATGGACTGCCAGGAACAATTATGCTTCCAAAGAAAAGAAAAAAACTTTTAAGTGTATTTCAAGTAGGCTCCTCTAATTAACTAGAAAACAGGTAATGATCAACTTCAGATCGAGAAAGTCTAACTTTAACAATGTACTTAGTGTGCTATCATGGTACCAGAGGATTCAAATGAAGTTATTAATGTGATTTTTTATATTACAGGCAAATTGATACAAATGCCAACAAACTGAAACTATACATAGATGTGACAGTAACTTACAGGAGTCATTTCAGCTTCCTCTTCTGAAGAGTTAATGGGATGCTTGGACTGATTAATGGAATGTCCCACAGAGAGAGAGTAAAAAAGCAGGAAAATGAGGAGGAAAAAATGCAAAAGGAAAAGAGGGGAAAAGAAAGGGGAAGAAAAGAAAGCCTTTATTCTCAGTCAGGAAAGGGAATAAAAAAGCGATGACAATTAATGAAATTAAAGGAAACCAAACTACATTTAAAAATTGCAGTGTCCCTTATGCCAATTTCTTACAAATGATCAATGACTTCAATCAGCCATGACTCAAAGACGAGATTCAGGTTTTTTCTCATCCTATTGGAAAGGAAAGAGATTGGATGCAAGGAAGAGTGGAAATCATCATTAACTTAAGATAAAACACTGCAGTAAAACATTTGTAGACACACACAAACAAATCCAGGTAGTCCTTGTCCAAGGAGAATGCTAAATAACAGCTGTGTGTTAAAATCTCTAAATAAAACAACACAACAGCCTGTCACTTCATATAACTTCATATACTTTCTGCATCAATTTCTTCATACTAGGAAGTAACATAAATATGCTTTAGTGACAATTAGTAGACATAACAAGAAAAAGTGGATACAGATTTACCTCTTCTTCAGCTGGATATACTACTCTAGACCCAAGCACCCTCATACCATTATTTATTTAAAAAATAAATGAAAGCATTTTTCTATTTCCCTAATTTTTTTTCTTAAGAGTAAAGGTTGCAGTGTCTTAGGATAGGATATATGTGTCTCCTAAAAGTGAGTGCCTAAAGTGTCTAAAGATTTCCAGTGTGGCACTCAATGCTTACCCCTTTTTATCAAAGGTACAGATATTTATTTCAGGCACATTAATTTTGCTAACTTAGTTACCAAGTTAGGGATTGATAGATACAGAAATGAAAAGGAAGTTGCAGTTTATTCTTATCAAAACGCCAGAAAAAGAATACATATGCTTAGAATGATAGAATCATTAAGGCTGGAAAAGGTCACTAAGATCATCTGGTCTTACCATCACTTCGAAACTAATGTTGCACCATTAGAGAGCAGAATTGTCTGACATTTCCATACATACAACGTATTTTCAGCTCTTTAAACACATTCTGCCAAGCTATAACCAAGAAATTTTCCATGATGGTTTACTATTAAAGGATAGTTACTATTAATTCCTTCAAAACAGAATTATTTTTAAGGCTTTAATACCTTTGTATGCCTGACCATGAGATGGATTGTAGTCAATGACATCCTCAAAGACCATTACTCTGCTGGTCCGTGGGAACTTAACTAAATTTTTCTGAGCAGGAGCCTTCAGAATTAAAACTGTAATCTACAAAGCCTTACTGAAGCCTAGTCCATCACAACTAAAAACCTCAAGGCTGAATTCTTTCATACGGCACTGCCCAGTCTTTCAATTGAGCTGCAAACAACTAACCATGAACAAAAGATTGGCCAAGTTCAGGAATGCATGGGCCACTGTTGGGAGAGTACCAAAAACTGCAGAATATTCTTACAACTGCAATGCCTGGCTGCTGCAGAGCGTATTGGAGCCAGACACTGGAAGTGACAATCCAGAACTATTACTCTGCACTCCCAAGTGGCCAGCCCTCCTGGAACTTGTGCAACTCCATCTCACAACAGGCAATTGGA